ATACAAGGGTGTCTTGCCATCCATTAATGTGGTTGGTTTGTTTTTATGTGGGAGGGGTGACAAACGTTTATAGTCTGTGAGCATTTACACACTTGTGGTAAAAATAATGGAGATTTCTGTCCATGGAAAGCATATGTGGTGAGAACTGCTTGAGGGGCGTCAGCACTTGACTCCTGCAGCCAGAACGCAGGGGAGCGGATCTCCACACCAGGTGTTTACTTAGGACAATTCTCTTCATAGCATCAGCCTTGGGAGCTAACCTAGTCAATGAAAGCCAATTTCCCAGAGGCTGGGGACTCCTCACACCATCTGCACTTAACGTTTTTAAAACAATTTGTGTTTTAAGGTTTTAAGATCATTTTCCTATTGGCAAACAATGGTGCTCCGTACAGACTGAGCGCGACGTACCTCCTCAGATGCCCTCCTGTGCCGCTAGCACAACTGTTTCACTGCTTGGAACACACAGAGAGAAGGGGTCAGATTCTCTCACTGAATGTTTGAAAACTTTTGCTTAAACCCCTACGACTCCACTCGTAATTTTCCAAAAGAAATATGCCAAGAGGAAAGCGCAGAGCAGAATTCCACGTTCTCATGGAATCCAGACTTCCTGGAGCCACGGAGGCTGGATGAGCCCTGGGAACTGCTGTCCTGAGATCACTGGTGGCCCTTGACCAGAAGATCCCCAGAAGTCTTTTTAAAACCAAATTGAACCGAATGCAGCGGGCGCCCCATTTTAACTCAAACGAGAATGAACGTGAGAGCAGGATGACCAAGTTGGGTGTTATTTCTTCCGGGAAAAAGGAGACACTGAGGGTGGTTTTCGGGGAACTGCCTTGCGGAGCCATGGGCTCAGGGAGCTCATGCGTGAACGAAAATGCGGAAGTTACACACGTTCACTGAGGTTGGGGGAACCGGCTCCGGATGCAGAAGGGCTGGGGCAGCTCTTGGCAGGGGAGTTGGTGGTGCAGCCTGCTTTTTAGAGTCCGTCGGGAAGCCAATGACGTGGTTTCTATCACTTCCCCGATTTTCAGTTCCTTGGCTGAAGCTTTTCGGTTCCTGGCTGAACTTGCCATGGGATGGGTGACGTCAGGGGATGCACAGCTAGTCTCTGCACGCACTTCGGGGTCAGTTTCCGGCCCAAGCAAAGCAACTTCCGGGAATGCTGATGTCAGAGCAGCAGCAGCTACAAGGATCGGCCAACCAGATCCTTTCCTAATCTTGATCTTTGCGTGTCCCACTAGCTCAGCCAAGTCTGTTCTTCCCTTCCTGCCTACATGTCCCCTGCCTGTCTTGAAACAAAGGGTTAGCTTACTAGTAAAAGAATGTCGGAAGCACTGTGGTCTTTCAGGAACTACATGGGTCACAGGACAGCAACTGGGAAGGTCAGACAGGAAGCTCAGCAGTGAGTCCTATCAGTGGGGGAGGAACACCTCTGCAAACGGGGTGAGCGTGGTTCCGCAGCTCCCAGAGTGTCCTCAAGGCCTCTGAATTGTCCACGCAGGAACTGCTGAGTTGGCGTATTTCCTGCTGTGTAGGTTCCAACAAAGTAACATTGTCAAAATGGATGACCTCAGGGCAGGAGTGTCGTGGGGTTCCAGAGTCTGGAGTCCATGAGAGTCACTTCCAGGTCTTAGCCAGGTCCTCCTTGAAACCCTCCCTCCCTTGGCCTTCACGACCCGCCCTGCCGTCGCCTCTGTCCACCCTGCAGGTCACTCTCGCAGTCTCCTGCGGGCACGGTCTTTCCAGCGGGCATTCTGTCTGTCCTCCGGGCTCCTCCTCAGCAGCTGCTCCCTCCTCATGGGGTGTTAAGGATTAGATCGTGTCCCCCAGTATACAGTGTTGAAAATCCTAAGCCCTATACTTGTGAAAAAGGAGCTCTGGTGGTGTAGTGGGCAAGGCATTTGGCTGCTAACCAGAAGGTCAGTGGTTCAAACCCACCAGCTGCTCTGCAGAAGGAACATGGACCGTCTACTTCCGTAAAGAGTTACAGCCTCAGCAATGGTCCTACAAGTTTATGTGAAGGATCAGATTTCCCAGGCGTATGGTGGGGCTGACAAGGGGCAAGGTTGTGGTCATGGCTTGGTCACAGCCAGCTACCCAAAAGGACTGAGTAGTTGAACCTGCGGGCTTGGAACCATAGTCGCAGGGGACATCAAGCTCAATTGGCATAACATACTATACAAAACATTGTTCCACCTCTATTGGCGAGTAGCAACTGGGATCTTAAAAGCTAGCAAGTTGCCATCTAGATGCAACAATGGGTCTCTCCTCATCCAGAGCAAAGAAGCATGAAGAAAACCTAAAATGCACAGAAACAATTAGCCTAGGTGACTGGTACATCATGCGATCCTCAGCCTATATGACTATGAGACCAGAAGAACTAGATGGTGCCCAGCTACTACTGTCAACCATTCAGAGAGGGATCTATGTAGGAGATCCTGGATAGAGTGGGAGAACAATATGGAACAAAACTCAAAATTATTAAAAGAATAAAATAAAAAGGGACAAGGTTTGCTGGTCTGATAGAGCCTGGTGGAACCCCTGAGACAATGGCCCCTAGCTGCCCTTCAGGTCTGGAATTGAACCCACACCTGTGGCTTCCAGTCAAACAAAAGACAGGCATATGAGCTGAACATTTACATTAGGTATATACACTCCTTGGAGAGATGAATCATGGGAGAATAGAAGGGCTGTGTATGCACAGGGACACAGCTCAGGGGGCAGGAGTGCATGGAGGGATGGACACAGGGAAGAGGTGACTGGAGAGGAAGTGGGAGGGGAGCTGTTGCATTGTGGGAAATTGAAGTCAATGTCATGAGACAAACTGTATGTGAGCTGCTGTATGGAAAGTGAATATGCTCTGTAAACTTTCACCCAAATCACAATAAAATAAAATAAAAAATTGCTGTGGTCAGTTTGATTTCCATACATATAGATCTTAAAAGCACATGAGGATCAACTCTGTGGCTTAACTTTCAGCCAAACACCAGACAGTTTTGACAGTCTGAACAGTAACCCCAGGAGGCAGCACTCCTCGGAGCAGTCAACCAGACCAAAGGGTGGCACTGGCCCAGGAAGAAATCTCAGAAGGCAGGAAAGAGAGGAAAGTAGGATGGATGAAACGGCAACCTGGGGAGGAAGCGGGCGGAGTGCTGTTAGAGTGTGGGGACTGCAATCAACGTCACCAGACAAAATGTGTGTGAAATACTGAATGGAAAATCAGTTTGCTCTGTAAATGTTCACCCAAATCACGGTAAATTTAAAAAAAAAAAAAAAAACATAATGCTCAAGGCAGACATTGTTTACTAATTAACTAAATTATTGTTTGGTTTTAAGATTATTTCAGAGGATATTTTTGGTTTACGTTTTAACGAATATATCGAGACAGTACTTTCAAGGGGTCACCCAGCATTCATGGCTCCTGAATGTCTGTATTCCACGAGAATCTGAAATTCGGTTCTACATTTTCCCCCTTTTGATCAGGATTCGGCTGTCAAATCTCTGATCAAAACGTTCAGTAAGGGTAGCAGGGCCCCACCCAGTTCTGGTCTGTTGACAAGGGGAGAAGTTTTTCCTCCGCTGTGGCTGTGTTTTACATCTCAGTGTTTCCACTCACTAGCCAGCAGCCGCAGGTGGTGAGGGGCTTCCTGATCCCACAGTCCAGATTCAGCATGAGAAAGAAACCCAGGACCTGAGGCTGGGCAGAAACACTCTAGTAAGCAGTAGCACCGGGTACACAGGTTATCCAAGCTTCATTCTGCGGATGAGGCATGTATATTCTCTGTGCCTCCTGCTTTCCCCCCAACAGAGAAGCCTCTTCAAGTCCAGGGTTTGTCAGCAGTGCTCCAAGAATCTAGAAAAGTACCCAGAGTCCCCCTCCTCCGCGCTGGGACAGGGATTGTCAGTGTGTACACACACACACACACACAGAGTCCTGGGGAAATCCTAAGGGAAGGTGACATTCTCATCACAGAGCCCATCCCTACTGGCTCCTTCCAATCTCGCTGACAAGCCTGGGGGTTTGTTTCAGAAGGAAGGTGCTCTAGTGTCGCCTCTCAACACTCATGTCTTACCAGCCGGCAACAGATGTCCCTACTTTACAATAATGGTTACAGCCAAAACCACCACACAGCCTGGATTTTCTAGCATGGTGTCAAGGTCGAACATTCTTTTTCAACGCTTGGCATCTTTTGAGTTTTGGTTCAGAAAACATATCACCCTATCACACGGGAGTGTAAAATACAGGAGCGACTATCTGGCGATCAACCGGTGGGCGTTCAGGTTCCTGGAACTTAGAACTTAATTCCGGACACTTCTGTCTCAGTGGTCTCGGAGGACTGGGCCACTCTCCCTGGGGACTGACATAGTTCTCAGGGAGGCCCACATCTTGGATGCTCACCAGCCGGTACCTGGGCAGGGGCCATCCCTGCTCGCAGCCGGAGTTTGTCCCCGTTTATAAACTAGCATGGGTCTTGAGGGGTGCTGCTTCTAAGGAAAAAGAGATGAAAAGTTATGTGGAGGCTACAGAGCTTTCTAAGGATATTTGGGCAGGCAGCTAAAGAACGATACAATGCAGAAAAAGAAAGAGGTGCAGGACCCCAGGGTAGCGTTAGCGCTCAGGGCACCGGCCAGTCTCGGTGCTCCAAAACTGGGGGAGGCACGGCCTTGACTATGAACGTTCAAACACTTTTCAGGTCGTTAATCGTTAACAATTGTTTCCCTTTCCAAGGTCCCGGCCAGAGTGCGTGGGGGAGGGGGGCCCGCGGCGGCGAGGACACGGCTCCCGGGTTCCCGGGCGAAGGCGGCGTGGGCCCGGGGGCGGCGGCAGGGGGCGCCCTCCCCACAGCCCCCGCCTCCCAGGTGGCGGCGCCCCCTCCCCGCGCGGGGCCGGCGGCCGGGAGGAGGGGCCGGGCTGCGAGCGCCGCCCTCCGTCCATCACATGGCCCGAGAGCCACAAAAACAACCGCGCGGGCCCCTACCCTGGCTCCGGGGACGGGAACCGGGCCCTGGCAGCCGGCCCCCACCCCATGGAGGAGAGTTTCCTCGACTCGTTCGCGAGGCTCAGCCTCCGGCAGCGCCCGCAGCAGCGCCCGGCGCCCCCGCGCGGGACGCCTCCGCGCCGCCACGGCTTCCGGAAACACCTCTACCTCCTGCGCGGCCTCCCGGGCTCGGGAAAAACCACGCTGGCCAGGTAATGACGGCGGCCGGGGCGCCCCCTGCCCGCCCTCCCGGAGCCCGCGCTCCCCAGCGCGCTGCGCGCGGAGCCGGATCCCCGCGGGCGGCCCCCTGCGCTCCTGGCGCCCCCAACTGCCGCGGGCGGGAGACGAGGGAGAGCGCCCTGCTCGCTTCCCCGAGGCGCCTTGCGCGAGCCCGGGTGGCACCGGCCTCTTCCCGAGGGACCGGCCCGGCCCGGCGCCGGCGGGCTGAGGGAGTCTCGCCGCCCCGGCCCGGGCTGAGGGAAACCCGCTGGCGCGCGGGCCCCCGCCACGACAGGCGATTGCAATGGGCGCCCGGGGCCGGGGAGCGCAGACCGGCAGAGCCAGGGGCGCAGGGGCTTGGGCCTGCCTGAAGACCTCGAGGAGCAGAGCGCGCTCCGTGTGCTCTGCAGGCGGCGACGGCGCACAGGTGCACGGCCGAGGGGGCGGCGACGGCCCGCCCGCCACCCAGCCCGCCTTGGGCGCCCCGGGGCGGTTGCC